ACATTAGTAATTTTCTGCAGATGATTTCTAAATTTGTAGAAATCTGCATTAGTTACACGACGAAATTTACACACTGAGCCGCACCATCCCTAACCACAAACCAATGATCCACAAACTGATGATCCACAAACCAATGATCTACAAACTGATGATCCACAAACCAATGATCCACAAACTGGTGATCCACAAATCAATGATCCACAAACTAATGATGATTCACAAACTAATGATGATTCACAAACTGAAAGTTTAATTTCCAGACCATCAATACCTTTAAAGACTGGTGCTGTAAATTATGGTGAGCATATAAAAAGTGGTTGCAATTACCTTTGCAACCATTTTTGCAGCCATACTTTTTCCTTTTTTGGATTATGGCACTAGTCTTTAAATACCTTCATCAACTTTTCAAAGGTTAACCAATAAGATCATCAAAGAGCTTGAACAAAGTTCACACATTCAGTCCCTTGCCAAAAATAGGCTTAAAAGTTCAGCAGAAAATTATTTAATATCCTTATTTGAATGTTCGATTTTAGAGGCTAATCATGTAAGAAGATCAAAAGTTCAGATAAAAGACATGCAAATAGTCAGATACATTTGTTGTGAAGAAAATGAAAGAGAAATGAGCATCGGAGGACTGTCCAATCATACAATCTATAATTTCTACAATTTTGCATCTACTAATATAATAGTGGAAAATTTATTAATGTTTCCAAAGAAATTTGCAAAGAAGCAAATTTTGCACTTAAAATTTTCCTTAAAAATGTGATTCAGGTCAGCACAAATGTTGAAGAACTTAGATATATTTAATATTGTTAGATATCATCTTAATATTAATTGTTAATTTTTTTTGATTTTCTAGGATGCTGCAGAAGATGCAGAAGGTCAGGGCATAATAAAATTATGGTTCACAACATTGGTGAGTTTAACTATAAATATTAAGTGTGACCATCAATAAGGGAATTTATACTAAATTAATTATCAATTATTATGATTAGATAATGCACTTAAATATCAAGGTCATAATATTTATAGCATTGATTTATAATTAAGGATTTTAAAGAAAAAATTTTAATATGATTATTACTTCTTTTATTTCTTCTTGTTGAATAAAAAATGATGTAAGTTTTTTGCTTTATAATCATTTTTGATTTGAGGTTTGCTTTTTAAAATTTTTAAAATGATTGCTTTTAAAAACAATTTAAACAAAAAAATATAAGGAAAATTTGCAAATCTCACTTACAGATGAAAAAAGCAGGTCATATGCAATACCTTTTTTTAATAACAAAATCTAACTATTATAATAAAATTTTCTTAAAAATTCTGAGGCAAAAATTGACCTGAACACAAGATTTTAACACAACTTGCAACCTTAGAAAAAATGTTTGTTATCTTCTGAAAAATGTAAATATAAATTTTGGCAAGATTGGTAACAACATATTATCAAGAAATGCAATAAGACATAAGGTTGATCAACAATTTAATTGCAACCTTAATCAACTTTTTTGATCACAATGACAACTGTTTTATTTATTCTATTGTCCAGAAAGTTTATTAAACCCCTTGAAATGAGATAGTAATGTTGAAGTATTACATTAAAGTTTTTCTTCTTTTCATCAAATCAAAACAGAATGTAAAATTAGCATCCTATATTTTTAATTAGTTATTAGTATGAATCTAACTTGGATATTAATACATGTTAGTATATATTGCAATGGTGGTAAACAATATTGACCCCTGAATTCTTGATAATACCAATGTTCACTTTGTCTGGTTTTGTTGCAGTCTGCCCCATATAGTAGTGATATTAACTCAAAATTACTTTTTTCACAACATGATTTGTCACCCAAAATGATTTTTCTAAAATTTTTTGGGGATCATTCTACTCAGCAACCTCCACCAAATTTGACACATTTTTTAGGATTTATCCCTCTAGGAGGTTATTAATAAATCTTGGTGTTAAAGTTTATCAACCAAATTACCATATTTGGAAATTAGTTATCTCTTTTTTGGTCATTATGCCTAGGTTGGAAATTTTATATGGTATAATAAAATTTGCTGGTATAATACATGGTATTATACCATATTATACTATTAGTGTATAATCCAAATACAAGCTCAAGAAGGTCTGGTAAATATGGGAGGTTCTCCAACTAAAGGTATCTTAAGTTCCCTCTGACCAAAATTGTGTTTTTTGCATAATGTATATTTATATAAGGATTATGTATAACTGATGAAAAAATCGGTACAGTCAAACCTCGCCACAGCGGATTTGCCAAAAAAATCCATTATGACAAGAAATCCGCTGTGGCAAAATTATAGATGCTGGTCGCAATTCTTGGTGATGGTTGCAACCACCTTTGCGACCACTTTGGTTTCCTTTTTTGGATTGCAACATGGAACACTAGGCAAAATTGGTGTAAAGTACATTTAAGATCCTTTTCAATTCATAAAATTAAAGCTTCTTCAATATTAGTAAATGGAGCAATGGATGGTCTTTTTAATAAGTATTTGGAACGATTTTAAGCCATTTGTCAGACTCCTTTAATATATCACTAACTTGGCTTGTACTTATTCCAAACTGGTTTGCTAAATCAATATTTCTTGGTTCAGGTTTATTTTTTCTTAAGATACATAATTCGCGTTTTTGTACTACAGTAATATATACACGTTTTTTGGAGGAAGATTGTTGAGATATTTTTTTTTTGATTGTAGAATAAATTTTGCTTCATTATAAATCTTTGGAAAAATGATATTATTTCGTTTTATTTTAGAAACTTGGAAAATTTTGTTACTCGCACAATTTGGATAAATAATCCATCAATTATTTTATTTAGGAACTTGGAAGAAATTGTTACTCGCACATATTTGGATAAATAATCTATCAATTGTTTGTTTATTGATTTATTTTAGAACTTGGAAAAAATTGTTAGTTGCAAACATTTGGACAAATAATCTATCAATTGTTTTGTTTATTGGTTTATTTTAGAAAATTTGTTTTTATTGCTTTATTTGATTATTTGTTTTATTATTTTATTCTAGAAACTTGGATTGTTTTAATTTCATAAATTATGTCACGTGAATCCGCTGTGATGAGACTATATAGAAAGGCTTCCATCAAAAATCCGTTATGACAAACATTTTTAATAATAATAATAAAAAAAGGAGCCAATATTTAAATCAGTTTTAACAAGAAATTCGCTATGGAGAGGCCCGCTGTGACGAGATTTGGCTGTGTTTTCCCATATTAAAGGCATTTTTCATTATAATGTACGGAAGGAACCTTGACAATATAAAGTACCATAACATAAAAAAGCAATTTTGGCCGTTCTTATATATGATTCTTTGTGTGGAACATTTTTGGCTTGGAGACTATGCCCATTTTGCAAGTAATATTTTGAGATGTTGTTCTTTAAAGTTCTAAAAAACAATAGTTAGTTGTAAATCATTGTCCAGACCAAAAATATTCCGTGCTGGTCCCGCACGATTTCCATATTCTGGTACTAGTGTTTCGTATCAAAATACGTTTTTCTAATGCATTCGTGTCAAAATACGTTTTCCCCGTATGTATTCTATTTTCTACATATTTTTTATAGGACATACAGTATATTTGTTAAAATGAAGTTTGATCTAATTATAAGTACTTTTTTTTTTTTTTTTAAATTCAACCTTAATGACATCTACTAGTTTTAATTTACATGGTGACGATACACACAACAAAACGATGTTGAACTAACACACAGGACGAATGAACTTTATCGAAAAAATTTAGCAATATCATTCCAGCTTTGTTTATTCTAAATATATAAAAAAAGCCTTTATGTAGAAATCTTGAACGAAATAAGTTAGCGAATAGATGACGGGAACGGAAAATGGATTAGCAGGAAAATGAATGAATGAAAATGATTCACTAATAAATAAGAGATTAAAAAATACATTAAAAAATACATTAATAAGAAAGTCTAATTAAGGGAAAAGAGAGTTGAATGGGTTCCTTGCATTGATTAGTTTAGTAAAATAATTGATAACTTGATAAAAATAGAATTTTCTAAAAAAAAGCAGATTTTCCTGTATTTACGAAGAAGAGAGCATTATATACGTTCTATTTATACATTTATTATTATAATTATTATAATTTCGTTGGTATTTAAATGGATTTTTTTTACCATTTGTTCTTTTAATTTTATATTTTATTTTCTTCGCCCATTTTCTTCAAAATACTGATTTTTCTCATTATTAAAAATGTCAAAATTATTATTCACTCACTTAACAATCATTATTATAACAATATCACTATTCTCAATTAATATCATCAACGGTAACTAATTATTAAACAATATATTTTTATTGAATGCAAACTTCGTTCCATTATTCTTGATTTATTCTTCTCGTTATACTCAGTAATGATTATAATTCTCACCTAATTATACTCCTAGCGCAAACAACCAACGATACAACAAATGACCCTGACCTTCCATCTTTCACCTTCTTACTAACAAGTTTACCAGGGCCAGAACGTATTTCAATATGTGGACAGAATAAAGGTCTTTGCGCAAGTAATTGTGGCGGGGTTAATCAAGTATGTTCGTTTTATTTAAAAATTTTTTTTTTGTCAATAAAAAATTTTTGACGGTTCCCATTTTCTCTTTTTTTAATGATTCAAAATAGGATCCAAAGGTAAAGGAAACCTGTAAACCAAATGGTTTTATTTACTTACTAATGAGATCATTAAATATTCTCTCTCTCTTACTCTCTCACCCCCGTCTTTTCATCACTTTTTTAACATAATTGATTTAGAACTTTTGTAATGAAACAACCATGGGATGGGGGTGGTAAGTTACTAAAAGAACAATTGATCTCATTAGAAAGAAAAAACCGCATTAATATTATTTTTTAGTGGATGTCTTACAAAAATTCCAGATCTTCAACCATACCAATGGTCAATTAATTACGCACACTGTATAAACTCTGGAGAGGTAGGTATTTTGCTTTTAATTCGTAGAAATATATCTTTTTTAAAAATAACACGTTCTATCATTAATATACAGAGATGTAAACAAGCTTGTCAATCAAATAATTATACTGAGGATAAAAAGTCAAATTGTACTATTAAATGTATTAATGTATATACTAACACGTAAGTTCAATAATTGATATAAAATCATCAATTAAAATCGATATTAAATTTCTCGATTCCATCTCTCTCTCAAATCGTTTGAAAAGATGTGGCACACCAAATCAACCACCAGCTTATTATATGGTTAATGATATAGCACAAATCCCAACTTACGGTCCACCGACTGTTACCACCACCACCAGCAGCACCACAAATTCTACCAGCACATCATCATCATCGTCATCATCATCTACTACAAATCAACAATCAAATGTCGCGTCTTCATTATTAGAATTTAATTTTGGCTGGTCAATTATTGTTATTGCTTTTACAGCTTTAGTATCTGTTGCGTCTGGAATGATGATACTTTAAATTTTATTATTATTTTTTTTATTGTTGAATTTTTTTTTTTTGGACTTACACATAATTATAGTAATAAATTATCATTAACTAATAAATATTAGATTAAATTTTTTTTGTTTTACTCACAACAACTATATTTAATAATTAATGTTAATAATAATGTTTTTTGCAAATGAAACATATAGAACCATTAAAGCAGTAAGAATCTGTGATCCATTTCAAGCTCAGGGAGGTAAGACAAGTTTTTGCCCCATCTTATAAAAGCCTTTCAATTTATGGGTGCCTTCACCCGTGGAAAAAATTACATAGTTACGAAGGTGTGTGAAAGCACCTAACCATTTGTTTGTGATAGGAAAATTTTATTAAATCTGACACCTGCAATCAACATCAGATTTATTATTCATAAGGAACTACAATTGATAATCAGGAAAAATAATTTATTTTGTAAACCCCAAAGATCTGGGTAGACACGCATTATTAAAAGTTTCATTTATGCATGGCCTTGGGTGAGCAGTTGTTTGTTATGTCAATGATGATATCAAATGTATTGCAGAATAATCATGACCATCATGAATATTTGATGGATGGAGACATTCACATACAAGGAAAGGATTAAATAGCTAAGTCATGTTTATTTTTATCTAACAAAGATACATAATTCAAAAAATAATTATTTTATTCACTCTTGCAATGAATGGTATTATTCGTTTATTTAGCATTAACGATTGAATCAATCAATCACACAAATGGTACATTGCATTGGTAATACAATTGTGATGTTAAACAGACATTATTGATCCCTGAAATTTTTGGTAATATATACCAATGTTCACTTTGTCTGGTTTTGTTACAGTATGCCCCATATTACATTAGTGAAGTTAAAAAATGACATTGACCCCTAAAATTTTGTTGCGGCATACCCCATATATAATTAGTATCTATGTTATCTGAATATATATCAGAAACTTGTGTTGTTGCTCTTGAAATGTCAAACAGATCAAGTATTTCTTCTACACAGTCTAAAAAAAATAAATATTAAAAGAAAAAATATATGTTAATAACATTATTACAATTATTTTATAATTCACCAGTGTTACTTTTAAAATTTTCATGACATAACAGCCACCACACTGTCCCTTGCTTAAGATCATTAAAATTTGATTCTATGCCTATAAATTTGCTGCCATAAATAAAGACGCAGATGGTGTGTAAAAAAGACATAATGGGACCTTGTAGCTGAAAAATAGATATATGTATGTTAATTAGAGAAATAAAAATTTTCTTTATAAAAGGTGGTCTTTTAACCATTTCTTTATCATAACCTAAAAAAAATTATAATAAAATAAATAAACCAAAATCATATTTCACTATCATTATCATTATTATTTCTCTTTACCATCCAATTTTTTGACATAGCCAAGAAAAATATCATATGAATGGTTGACATTAAAATCAAAACAAAGGGTGGATGCAACTAAAGGCTCCATTAATTTTATCATCTCTCTCCAGTAATCATATTCCTAACAAATAACAATGTCAAGTAAATTTGAATCTGGTTAATATTAATATTAATTATTATTATTGATACCGATTCCTCTAATCTGGCAAGATCTTGAAAATAAACTCTTGTAGATGATATTGCTACATCCGACATCTTTCTAATTGATTCAGATTCACTTGCTTTACAAGCCAAAGAGACACAAACACTTTCAATTAACTATTAAAGTTGATTAATGACAGACTAATCAATCAAATAATAAATTACATATATAAATTTACATACAAAAGGATTAAAATTTTCAAACTGTAGCCCATATAAAAACGGTGAAAAAAGGTTATGGCTGTTGCTATAGTAACTTGTGGTCTAAATACAATTTGTGTAGTAAACATTAAGGACAAAATTCGTAGCTCTGGATCTTATATGTCTTTCCTCTTCAAGAGAAATGCATTAATCCTAGAGGGTATTTTTTAAGCATAATCGGTTTTTGTATAAATCAATTAATTTGATCCATTGTTTTGATTTTACATTTATTTGTAAATGCGATTATACAAAGGGTAACACGAAGTGATTAAAAAATGTTGAGAAATTTACAAACTGAATCATTGTCTCAACAGCCTCAACAAACCGCACAATTTCAACATGCTTCTTTATTAAATAATACCACCACTAACAATACCAGTAATGGTTTTAATACACAACAGAATCCTGAGATTTTACAACAGCCTGCTGGTATTTTTACACAGAACCGACTTGTTCCTGAAGGAAGTGCCTACAGTCGCCAAACATACGAACCCACTCATAAATGTACTACTTGTGGACATATTCATGATTGTCAAAATTGTAAGAATAGGTCACTTCTACAACAAGCAATAGAGCCACATCAAGTTAAATACTTTGAACCAATCATCCAAAACACTGCAAAGGTGACTAACTACCCGCCCCCTTTTTTTTAATTTGTATTTAATAAAATTTTAATACATTTATGAAATATTTATATATATAGGCATTGTCTAGAAGAATTCGAAGAACAGAACATGATCCATATTTTCGAAGGTTTTTGACAACAAAATTATTCAATTATAAATTCGTTTAAAATCTTTTTTATTAAAATAAATTATATAAATTTTATTAGGAATTCAACAAAACGGATAGGTATCTCTCAAGATGAGATATTAGAACGTAGTCGAAGAAATCCTAATCTTAGCATTTCACAAATTGTAGAAGAAATTAATAAAGAAAATGAGGCTGCACATGAAAAAGATTGGTTTCAAAGTTTATCACCAGTAGGAACCTATAATACATCTTCACAGTTTCCTGCACATTTTACCTCTGCTGATACTACTTCTTTGCAAAACCAAGGTGTAATCCAACAAACACAAACTACAGATTCTACGATGCAAAATACATCATTTTTTGGACAACAATCAAGAACATTCCAGAATCCTATAATTTCAAGAGAACCGGTTTCTTTTGGTAGAAGTTTAGTTAATAATACTCAAATTTCGCAAAATGTCCCAATGCTTAACCTTGACGGTACTAATTTAAGGTGCGTATTGATAATTCGTTAATTTGTTAATAAATCAATAGGTTAATAAAATTTTTTAAAAAAGAACTATCACAGCAACATCAACTCAATCACCTATAATTCAATCAACTGTAACTCGGCAACAGCAGCAGCAACAGCAACAACAAATTTTTCCAACATCAAGACCTAGCTTGTCAAATCTTGGATTAAATTTTAGAAAAATAAAAGTTAAACATGTATTTCCAAAAAAGTCAGCAAGCATTGTTAGACCTCTCCCAAATCCAGTACCCCCAAATATAAGAACAACTAGTGGTGCTTATGAAGAGATGAAAAAATTCTTTAATAAAGTTTGGGGTTGGAATGCTTAGAATTTTATATATATGGTGGCAAGGTATTAATCATGTATTGTAAAAAAAAATTTTACTAAACTTGTGTTCAAATCTTGATGGTTTCTATGGCACAATCATTTTGAGATCTATTCATAATTACATGGTCAAAGTCTTAGACTTTTATGAACTACAGTCAAACCTCGTTATAACGAACATATTGGTTTGGCCCCAATGATCCGTTATAACGAGGTATATACAAATGACTTCTAATAGGAGCTTTGTTTTATTAATCGAGAACAGCGTCGTTGAGTTTTGTGAATAAATGTGATGAATAAGGATGTTTGCCAAATCCGAAATATTTGGCATTGTCGAATCCGAAAATAATTTCAGAAGTTGATTTTTAAAATTCAAAATTCTGAAATGCCCAATTGTTTCCGAATGCCGAATTAAAGATTATCATGTCAATCTATAATAAGAAAATCCTACACAGAATTAAAAGAAACCTCCATTTTTTAAAGAGCTTCTACATGAATTATTCTCTTCCAACATGTCAAACATTGTCAAAAAACTTGTTGTGCAAAGAAATTTCCAGAGTAAATAATAGAATTGATAAAGAATTAGAAGTTGGAGAAAACCTTACCCTTGGTAAATGATTGTAAAATAATAATTTAATTTTGTTGCACTTATATTTTATATATCTATGAATTTATATATATATATATTTCAGTATTGATGGGTGGTCATTTCCCATATACAATTTTATCATTTTAATGCCACAAAAAAATCAATATTTATATTGTCTTCATGACCACTCCAGCTCTCATCACATTGGTCAATTTTTGACAGCAGAAATTAAAACAGTAATCAATAAAATTGGAGTTGATAAATTTAAAGCAATAATGGTGCTAATGTTAAGTGTTTACATGTAATCTTAGATGCATAGCTCATTTTGTGAACTTGGTTACCAAATCAACCATTGGTGAATAATAATTTTTTAATATTTATTCTTTTTTTATATTCATATATTATTGTTCTTATTTCTTATTATAATATTAAAGTCTGTTAATGAGAAAAAGACAAATAAACATATATATTTAATTCAATTAATTATATTATTATATATATAAATATGAAATTTCGGTGTTTCGGCATTCTATGTATGGAATTTCTGAAAAATATCGGAATGCACATTTCAAATCCGAAATATTCGGAAATTTAAAAACAATTTCGGCTAACATCCTTAGTGATGAACCTTGGATATATGTAACCATTGGCTATTTCTATGTCACAATAGACTTTAAATTTCTATCTTATCGTGAAATTTTAAATCATTCAAGAATTCCTTCCAGAAATTTGTTTAATGAAATCATAATGATGACTTTTATTTTTTTAATAAAAAGAAAAACTATTAAAATGTATTTACAAAAAAGAAAGGAAAAACTTATAAAAATTCTACTTTCAATTTTTTTCTTATTTCGAATAAGAATTTGTTCAAGATCACCTCAACTATCCCACCTTCTACTTTCACCACAGTTTCGCGTTTGGATCAACACTAATTTTTTTAAATTTTGAGTGATTGACCAATTGGTCAATATCATGTTAAAATCAAAATAATAAATCTAATAATTTTAAGAAACTCACTTATTAGATAACCCTACCTCTAATTATATCCTTCATTATCTATTTGTGAATATATTTCGATAATCACCTTCAAATGTTATCTTCTGATTATTATTTTCGTTAATGAATATCTCAATGTTGCCTATGGTAAAACTACGAACTTACTACTTTCCAAAATATTTTTGTTAGACAAGATTGATGTTGTATTAAAATAAAAAATACAACTGCTGATCCCGTTGGTGGTGTTAGCTTTGTTGCTGGTGGTGTTAGCCTTGTTGCTGGTATTGATCTCACTGGTGGAAATATGTTATTTGGTTTGGTCCTCGGATGGTCTGGTTTCCTCGTACCTAGTTAATACTTCTCTTCTATATCTACTACTCCCAGCGGTTAGCGTGTTTTGCTTATTGGATGTTATTATTATACTAATACACACGTGATTATTTTTGAATTACAGCCCGCGCAATCAAAACAAAAAAATTTTCACTTTGGTATCACAAGATCGATACTATATATATAAACAATCTCTGCTGATCCCTGCTCATTAATATTAATATGGTTGGCTCGGTCTAAAGGCTTATATTACTGCGCCACGAGAAAAATTTAAAAGTAAAAATTTTTATCCGCGTAATTGAAAGAATATATACATTAAGTATAAGATATTGGGCACGCGACGGCCAATATCAT